TCTCTCGTCTTCTTCTTCTCTTTCTCTTCTGTGCTGAAACCTCCGCTTGGATAGTTGACATTCGCATATTCCGTTCTCGCTCGTGTTCGCGGCCAACGAGGCCAAAATGGAAAAATCGATGCTGTGAACAAGGTCGCGCGTCATCCCCGTAGACCTATAAACCTTTCAAGAAAGAGCCGCAGAGCGGCTCTTTCAATTAAAACTTTTCGTTCTATCAATTAAAATCCCATAGGATGATATTAATATTGAGCATACCTTTCGTAATGTTTTTTTTTTTAAGCAAGTATCATGCAGAAGAGTAATAAAAGAATTTTGGAATCGATATATCTTTGACAAATTACAAGCATTGTGATTATTATCGCGCGTGTTTTAATATAATGCAGTATAATATCATAATATTGTAATAACAATATTATACTAATTTTAGAATTGATTATTGTTAATGCTGATTTTCAAATACAATATCTCTGAATACGATTTTATGATTAGCAAAATGCCAAAATGAGGATTAACCGAAGCTAGAAATGTCTAATTAAACGCTTTAATTTTATCATAAATGATAATTAAGCACTAATAATAATTCTATTTATATTTAGTGTTGTCTTGTCCAAATATGGCAAACGTCAAAATAAACGAATAATAAGCGAGAAAATGACATCAATTTACATGACATCGCTCATTCGACAATAAACTTTATATAGTTTAATCTTAAAATCTCAAATCTTTAATTTGATAAATTCGAGAAAGTTAAAAATACATTATAATGGATAAAAAAATTTGACGTAAATGTTTCAAGAATTTTTGTTTTTTTTAATAATAAATCTGCAATTATTATAATTATTGAACAATTTTATTTTTTTTGTGAATTCCAATGCGTTGAAATGATAATAATTTTTTATCTACATCTTTTTCTATTTCAGGCAGTTTATATTAAAGATTGACATTCTTTGCTTTACAAATATGTGCAATGCTACTGTCTCGGTATTTGTTGCTCGGTATAAGTTCTCTTAGGAGATTTTATATCGTGGAGCAAATAATATAAAATTCTATCTCACCCCTTTCTTTCTTCTGTACATTGCAAGTCTCGATATAATAAGCAATAATAAAACGTTTTTACCGTCGCGATTGATCGCCTAATACGCTTGTTTATTTTTATGCGCCGACATTTAACTATATTTATGTTTATGTTGCGAAATATTATATACCGCGGATATAATTATAATCATATTGTTATACCAATATGTATATACTTATTTAAGAGATAATATTTAATAATTTTTAGGTGAGAATATTAAGATTTTATATTACTTTATTTAAAAATTTCTATATTATTTAGATATTAATTATTGACTGCGAACATTTATTAGAAAACACGTTAGGAAGTAGCAACGAATTTGTTTATTTATCAAAATATGTAATTTTGACAATTACTTTAATTAAAGATAAATAAAATTGGGTCTCTTGTTTTTAATTGAAGATATTTTCTCTAACATTAAGAATTTTTAAATTATTTTTTCATGCGTAAGCTCTGTTTTCTATTCTTTCTTATTATTACTATAGTTAAATGTCGGGCATCGTCTACAACAGACGATGATTAGTGGAACAAAGCCGCCCAGTTCCTAATCTCCGTCTGGAACAAGCACGAGTGTGGTACCACACTGGGAGCTGTCTAGTAGTGGGGACTCGAAAAGGGACAAGGGGGGGAGCAGAATGACGTTTAGAACTGGAAGGGAGTCAGAGCCGGTGGAAGGAGACCATCCGTCCATGGTCGTAGGAGAAGGTTGTGGTAGGTCGCGACGGCAAAATGGCCGGTCTGGATGGTTACCCGGGAAACCATCTGGGCGGTGCTTGGCGTTCACGAGAGGCGGAGCATGATGGCCTTGGCGGCCATTATGGTTCTCCACTCCGAGAGATATCGCCACCTGGTGAGCGTCCCCCGAAACCAAGGGTTAAAACCAGCCTTGGTACCGGGAATATTGCTACTACCCCCCCGGGACCGTCTGGGATACGAATGGGCGAGGGATCGCTCTTCGATTCTGGGATAATTCTCGTGCTCTGGGATAGTTCTGGGATCTCTCTGTCATGTGTCGTAAGATAGTTTATTCTGGTCATTCGAAAACTGGTCATTCCATTTGCTCAAGTTTCCTTCCCTAAGAGACACGATATACGGCTGATACGAAGATTATCCCGACGGCTTGTATAAACTGTACTTCTGCTTGATTTATTTAACATCGTCAATAAATTGCTAATAGTTCATATCGCTATACTAGAGAAAGTAAAGAAAAGACTCTCCCTGCATGCCGTCACCGATTTCGATCAATAGACTGCGGATGTATCGATGAATCGCATTAACACACAGTACTACTTTTTTAATTATATAACGCTTTTGGAAAGAATTGATTAAAACTACGAAAATTACTTTTACTCTTTCAAAATAATGAGGACAATTGTTCTGTCATTATCTACTCTGTCCAATCGACACAATTTTGTTGGATTCACATTGGCTATTCTTACTTCTCTCTCTGAAAAAGTAAAAATAAATTACTACATTATAATAATTTACTATAGGTTTTGCTACAAAATAGTAGTCAGAGTTAAATTAAATGTCAAGTCTATAATATTCATTTAAATAAAACTCTAGCGAAACAACGAAAGTGATAATACGCTTAACAGGACTCACGGTTCTCCAAATTCACATGCTAAAGCGATTCTCGCAGTTTTTTAAATCTTCATTAATATTTGCAACACATCTCGGCGTTGCAACGCGAATTCTTGATAAACCGGGGAGAGCTTCGTCGCGCCTTGGATTACGTCATCCGGGCGGCATCCCCGATGCGCGGTGAATCCGGACGCGCGGGACACGGAAATATAGAAGAGAGATTCCTGCGAAAACGGATTACAATTCCTGACATAGCCCCGCGCCGGTGCCGAATACCCCCGCGATTCGGATTGCATGCCAGCAGCAGCGCCATTAAACGCATCGAGCGAGCGAATGGGCGAGCGAACGCGCGAGATTACGTTATTATTAATCATCCGTGTATGATCGTTTACGCGGCGCGTCCCTCGCCTATTATTAACGGCCGTTGCGCTCCGTAGATATTTACTTATTAATTAGCCGATTAACGTTTTGCAATTATGCGCCGTCACGCTCCACTCACGTACCCGGAAATCGCGCCTCGCTCGTACCTCATCTCGCGTTTCTTCGATTAATAACGGCTACGAATTATTATTGATGTCAGCGATGTGTCACGGTACCGTAGTCGGAGTCTGGAAATGGCCGGCCCGCCATTCCCAAACACATCAATTAATTTTCTGCGGTCATACAAATGCAAATTTATACACTACGCGGTTTTTTTTCGATCCCGGAAAGATAAGCGGCATCGATCGATGCGTTAATAGATAGTTATACAATTATTAGATATATTACTGGCGCCGGCAAATTGAGTCATCGCATGTCTCTATTATTACTTGCAGAATATCTTTCTGATCTGTACTTTTTGTTGAATAATTCCATTTTAATGATATTTTATTTTTACATTCTTGCAAGGCACTTTCTCGCATTTAAAACACTTGGCATGTTTTATCTCATGTCTTATATGCGGTATAATTACAACGCACTGCTGATCATACACGGTATTAGTCAGATACCGAATTGAGTATTTGCGGTCACGCCGCGGCGATTTCTATGAGCGCACTCCGCTCGTAAATGCTGATTTATCAATTAATTGGCTGACGCCCCGTGACCGCATTGAGTCACGCTCTCCCCTTATGATTACGATGACCCCAGTGCGCCAGACAGGCGAAGGGGTGGTATGTCATACGATATTCCAAGGGAATTTAGAACCGGATACCTCGATGCGAAGTATTAATCTGCAAATATAACGCATACATTCTTGCACTGATCTGAAATAATCTTTTTCATCGATATCATGCGAACACATTTCCCATGCATAAAGGCGCCAATATCTTATTTTTCAATTACTTTATAATATAAGTGATCTTAACGTTAACAGAGCTTGAAATTTTGATGGTAAATATATACTTTGTGTCGAAATTTGGGGGAAATCGGAAATAGGAGACGTTTATTTAAATTTACGTTATAATACAGTAGGGCGTGCGCTTTCACAGAGGCCACGGAACACGGAATGACTATCCGTCATTTGAATCAGCTCCCCACGTCCGAATTTCGGTCGCGTTGACAAAGCCTGAGAGTAAACCGAGCGTGCGGATCGTGCTACATTCCGCTTCCTGAACCCCCTCGTTATCCTGACAGGCAGCACTTTCTGCTTCAGGCCAGAGGTTATGAATAATACATATTAATTGCGTTATTCCTATATACCGTCTTCTCTCCCTTTGTATAAATATCAGCATATTCGAGACAATCTCACCATCGACGCGTTAATTCGTTGCGTGTGTTTCGGGAGGAACGCGAAACAAGAGGCTCGATAAGAGCGTATGAATATCACGATAATAGGCGTTGATAATTAACTGGTGGCTGTTACTGTGGATAGCTGAAAAGGTTCCGCCCCGTGCACCGTTCGCATGATAACCGCTCGTTGAGAACGGTTTAATCCTTAATCCCTCGTGATTCCGTGGAATAAGTAGAACCTGCACAGATTTCACTTCATTATGTAGCATTTGTTTTGGAACAACGGACACATTACAATTTAAAAAATGACTATGTAGAGAATTATTTTCCTAATGCTGTTTAATTGAAATGATTATTTGCGAAATGTTTTTTGTACCAAATTTCTCACAGAAATATGCTTGGATATTATATATCAGAGCACGAAAATATTATTAAAATGTTATTATTAATTATTATAACTAGAAAAATAGATATATGTATAAAGATACATACCTATTTAACATTATATTATCAATTTGTATTGTCAGCTCACTTTCGTTAAGTGCTAAAATATAGAGGCTTTGTCTCTTGACCAGTTGCTTCAATATATTACATTTGCATTTAATATAAGCGTTCGATCATATGCTTGCAGATCCTCGTAGAGTACGACGACGTAGAGTGGCAAAGGAGGGAGTGGCTGTCACCACATAGGGATGCCGTATTCTCCTTCTTTCTCATTGAACGAGGTCTCTACTGGGCCGAACGACCTGACCCCAGGCACGCCAGTCTCATCCCCATCGATCATCACAATCACGCGAACAATAACCACCATCAGCACCGCATTAACGGGAAACCGCTCAGGGGCGCCACGGCGGTCGCCGACACCGTTGCTTGGCCAGCTCTCGTAAGTATAAATAAACTGTATCTATTGTTTTATGAACGTTGTTACGAATTCTTGGACAACCTTGCTTCGTTTTTTTCTCAACGAAAGAAAAAAAAATACATCGAGGCATTGATTAATTTCACCATCATTTAAGGAGGTTCTACAGATAATGGATGTATCTAAAAATTGGAAAAAACTTTATGGACGTATAAATTGAGATGCGAGAAAAGTGCTCGAAAAATTTTAGCATCGGTTACCGTGTAAAAATTTGCAAAAATGAATTTTGAAATCACAGTTTTTAACATAAGCTACATATGGCAGAGGGGCTCTTGGAGACAGGAAACGAGATATTAATTATATAAAGGCGACCTACCAGAGATTCAAAAAACGGAGCTCTTATAGATCTTAATCTAAGCTTTTCAGAAATATCGAGAAAAACAAGGGTTATCGCGTAAAATTTTGTAATATTGGCTATTGAAACAGGCCATATCACAGTTCACGTAGCGTGCTTCGAATAACAAGGGAGATTTGGCAATGTCGCAGCGACTGCACCCGCGCGAAAAGTGTACAGCCAGTACAGCACCACAGTATGACAGCACCTCAAACTTAAGCACCTAACGTTTACGAGCGCTTTCGGAGAAGTACTCGCTCTAGAATTATGTGAAATTGTGAAATAACCACGGTCATATGAGCAGAACTGTCAAGTTCGCGACGTTACCACATTTTCTTTCATTATAAGCCGCCAGAGTCAAAGGAGCACTTACACGATATTTTTAATTATTCCTCGCTTCGACTAATATGGGTATGATATAAGCTCTAACGTCATCAAAATTCACGAAAATGTTTTATAAATACTTAGAATCGATGAATTTAAAGATTTTCTCTTCATCTCTCAACTGACTAGAGAGTACCTGTAGAACCTCCTTAATATTTTACTTTACAAATTAAATTGCAAGGAGATATCAAATTCTAAAAGGAGAATTAAAATTGAATATTAAAAATAAATAGAGACTTTTCTTCTTAAATCTTCGTTAAACATGACTTCGAAAGCGAAAGACAAGTTCTTTTTCTTTTACACGTATTACAAATGACAGAACTTTCTTGTCTTGTTCAGAAATGTAGATTAGAAAAATTATACAATATTTTCGAGAAAGTATTTTTATGAGAATTGTTTTTATCAAACATCATGCGATACACGCATAATACAATATAATTCACGCATTAAATTCCGGCAATAATCTGTCACGTGTGATTTCCTTCGAATTATACAGAAAAGCCATCACGATTTACCATTTTTAATGCATATCTCTCATATTTTAACGATGATAATTGAGGAATGCTCGCGATCCTATTCGAATATTAATCAGTTCGTGGTTAATTAATGAAATACTCAATTCTTCATTTCTGTTGAATAAATTTTATAATCGACACAATTCGACCGCTACAAAACAGACTGCCGCATGTTTCATTGGCTCGGCGCTCTTTTTCTCATTAAAATTTTAATGCTTCAATTGAGTGAGCTTAATTATTTTGCGAAGACTCAACGACGCAAAAATAATTACATCTATATAATTTAAAATTTTTGCCTTCTCTACACGGTCTTTATAAAGGGATTCTAACAGAATGCAACGTTGTATAAATATCACTAAAATATCATTACCGTGACTGTTAATATTTATTTCTATTTCTTTTAAATAGTAGGTAATTTTGCTTGAAAATATGGTGGCATATATGAGGTCAAAATTATTAATTAATATTCTTTTATAAAATATGAATGTTTTTTTTTTTTAAATAAATCTTTTTTATTTATATGCTATTTATATCATATAAGCTAATTCTATTTTCATCAAATAATTAATCTCGGTTGAGATTTTTAATTAATTCGTCAGCCAAAATCCACCTACTTTATATAAAATTAAAATATAATCTTCTCATTAAATAAATGAATTAAATATCTGTTTTTTTTATGCTCTGGTGCAAATTTTGTTATTATATTATCTTTTGTGATGATATTCAGCTTTTTTTATGTTTTGATGTAAATTGGATTAGCTAAATACAGCATGCACACGCGTTGAATGCAAAAATATGCTGCTTGGACGGGTTGAACTAAAATGTTATTCTATGCGGAATAGTACATATAATCGAAAATCTCATGTTTGTTTCTAGACTTTCTATCCTCTCGTGGCACGCGCTGAGTTGCACGAGGACGCCATGCCGATCGAGTTTATGCAAGATCGCAAACTGGACTTCGTCGACTATTCGAAGTTAAAGCCGTTCACTGTAAGTATATCACATATCTCAATTGTTCCGATTGTTTAAGATTAACCACTTGATATACTGTAACGCTATGCATAATATAACGAATAATGTTTAATTATTAATTATCTCATACAGCTTAAAATCAATTTCTTGAAATTTTCTGCAACAGATTTATTACTTTTATCAATTTTAATTTTTTTTTAATGTTAATGTCAATTTTCATATTAATTTATAATTTTCATATTAATCTTACAATTAGACGGTCATTATGCGTATTATAGCATAGTTAATACGGCATTAAGATATTTCATCTTTTCAACTCCTTGAGACACATGAAAGTTAAACGTGCATGCTACGAAGATAGCGTTTTTGTTTAGTAGGTATAGAAAGAATTTATGATCCGAAAGTAAGCATTCTTTAATTACTCGTTCGCGCGTGTGCTTACTTTCATGTAAAACGCGAGGAAACGTAAAAAGTATAAAACTTGCGCGGGCGACGAGAGATACGGTGACAATTTCCGCTGACCAAGGTACATTGACGCAATCCGTTATCTCGTTTCCCTCCTAATTTTCTCGCCGCCATGGCGTTCTGCACATTTCACGCGCGAGATGCGATAGAGTATTCCGAAAACGATTAAGAGCCCGCGAGCCGGGCGAGTTTGGTCGGCGAACGTGGTATAGCGCGTTGCAGCGGCCACTTCCGCTTTACGACTGGAAACTTACTTCGTTAGGGGCCTCGCTGGGAACTTAGTTAGGGAACAAGTTCCGGCGCCATTGGCGCATCCGACACTCCTCCGGGGGCAACGGATGCGAATGCGAGACCGCGCGTCTCTTCCCCTCCCGCGAGTCGTACCGCTGCGCTGTAAGTAATCTTTCACGGAGGCTCGTTGTCCAACTTCTCGTAAGAGCTACGCGGAAGAGTTAACCGAACTTGCCCTGCTGGAAGGAGCAGCCGAGCTTTGACTCAAGTTTCCCGTTTCACTTTCGCGTATGTGAAGGAGTTATGTTCGCGAGCGTGGCAGAACTTTTCGCGAGATATTTCTCTCTGAACAGGAAATTTTATTATTTCGTGATGACAAATATAATTGAAAAAATTTATTAAAGGGAAGATATACGTTTGAATTATTTAGGACAAACGTGTGTGCGTGTGCATGCGTGTGTGTGTGTGTGTGCGTGTGTGTGCGTGCGTGTGCGCGTGCGTGTGCATGCGTGTGTGTGCGTGTGCGTATGCATGCGTGTGTGTGTGTGTGTGTGTGTGTGCGCGCGCGCGCAAAATGAACAAGTTTTTACATGTAAAACTTTCTGCAAAATAATTTAAAACTATTAATTTTGATATGCTGTTTACAATTGTTTAAATTTATTTGTTAATATGTCGCCATTGCAACAGCAACAGAAATTTTTAAATTGTATTTTATTTTTTTGTATAACTGGATACTGTTTTTTATTATTTTATTTATTTTATTATTGTGAATATTTCACTAAACTTTACGAACTAATTATCAGAGTGCTAAATAATGCGTTTACCTGATGTTTCTTAATCCATTTATTTCCTATCGTAATACATTAGTACAATTAATCGACCATTTATTAAAACACAAGAGATATATAAAATCGCTCAAATTTCACTACACGAACGTACGATTAGCAAACTCCCTCCTTTCCCGATATTAACCTTTGACCTTCGATTAATCGACTTTTCATCGGATATCAGTTTGAGACAGTTGTAATGAATGAGCATACAGAAACTTCCACGCTTTCATCAGGGAAGCTCCGAGATAGGGAAACACTCGACCGAGATAATAAATCGATCAGCCCGATCCCTCTTCGCGAGGGTGAAAGAACAGTGCACGCGTACGCGTGTGTATGTGTGTGTTTGGTGGGTGTGCGTGCGGCCACTTCGGAAGTTGCCGCACTTCTGTTAGGGTAGGAAGAGTTGAGCGAGGTGGAATTGTTTCCAAGTAATTAAACTACCGGGAAACTTTTACCGTTAAAACTTTTTCCCGCTTCGGCGGCGGTATACGAGGCCGTAAGTCGTTTACATGCGGCGAGAACTTTCAGTCCGGCGCGCCGCGGCGGTCAGGTTCAGGTGTGTCTTACCTTTCAGATCCGCCCTTTATCCTACCGCGTGCGACTTAGTCCATTTCAAATAAGACGTATTACCTTCGTGACCTGTGCACTAAGGATGCTTTGAGAAATCCCAGTACTTTATGTATATAGCAGACAAGTTTCTTTTTTTTGCTTGACATTTATAATCGAGTTTAGCATCTTAAATTGAGGTAATGTATCACGATGTCGACATTTATAATAAACTTAAAACAATTCCATTTTTAATCTGAAATTTCGTGCGATCTGTTTCGACAAACTGGCTCGCGAAGCCATCAGTGTCACTCCGAGTTCTTTCTGTGACAATATAAATCGGTCCTCGCTTGAACGCAACAAATCTTTTTCGAGCAGCTATAGATCTTTACTTTTAGTTGTGGACCGGTGCACTCGCGGCTCGTCGAGAAAAGGAGAAAGTCGGCGGTTAAGTGCATGCCGAAAAAAAAAAGAAATACAAAAGGAACGAAGAAACAGCCGCGGCGCGAGGGGCCAAATTCGTCCGGGGGGGCAAAGTTGCGCGCGAGTCTGCTGACCCTGAACTATAAATGCAACGAGTTCTTTCTCCCCGCTGCGTCGCATACCTAACATGCGTGCACTTGCGCGCTACGTCGCTCGGAGACGTCGCACTCGCTTTGCTCTCCTTGCCGTGGGTGTCATGAACGAACGCAACCGCAACTTCTCACCCCGCGAGTATTAAACTTTTATATATGCATCGAAAGTATTAATAGTATGTATTATTTTATAAAATAATTAAAATTATCTCAGAGAAAAATAAATTTTACGTCATCGGGGCTTAAAAGTAGCGGATTTAGAATAGACTAAGAAAAGGCTCTAAGTCCTTTGTAGAAAGTGAAATAAATCAGACAAAAGGTGTATACATGTAACATAATCCAACGAAAAGAAATAGGAAATCTTCATCAGTGGATTTCAGAGCTGCAATCATCTAACTTGTTGAGAAAAGGTCGTCCCGCACGCATGCGGCCGTTTCTGCTTGCTGCCGGCGACGTCGCCTGTTAGTTTGACGATTCGCATCGGTAACGCGCGTACACGATCGTCAGAACGTTGGAAAGCGGCCAAGACGAGGCGCCAACATATTCCCGTTCTATCTAACGGTCCTTGTCCAAGTGCGACGATGCTGCGTTATACCCTCGACCTCCCTTCACGCGATCCACGCGCGAAGTAAGAACTCCGGAACCCTGCCTGAAAGGTGCTCACTACGAAGAGAAACATGTTATTCCTCTTACGTTGGAGATCCTATTCATTTAAACGCACAAGAACGATAATTCCAGCGGCTTAGCCATTCTTAATCGAACTTTATATGATAATGATTTTATATTAAAATTATGATAATTATATTATAATTATAATAAATTATATTTATTATATTATAATTATAATAAATTATATTTATAATAAATATCATAATTTTAATATAAAATTCTTTATATATAATTATAAAACTATTACAATTATATTAAAGTTATGATAATTTCTTTATAATAAATTATCAGCTTTGTTTAGAATTTTTGAAATATCGAATTTGAACCCAATGATTTGTTATTGAAATATTCAGGCATTTTATCAGTCATGCCAAAGGCTTGATATTTCGAGAAGGTTAAGGTAAACGTCCCAGTGGCCGGACGGTTAAGCATGATTTGGTCATAAATAATACAATTCATAATATTTAGAAAGATGTTTAATATAAATATTTGTATTTATTCGAAAACTTAAGATTCCCTTAAGCAGGGAAAGTTATTTTAACTCATATATATCAATTAATAATTTAATATTTACATAAGTAATGGAGCGTATTAATGTACCAGTGGCCGGACAGCTAAAATAGGTTGTGGCATATAGTGTCCAGACATAACTTGTTCCAGTGTCCAACCAATTAAAAAATTATACTTATCTTAACATTTGTAAATGAAGATAAATTGTCGGTGAGTAGTTTCAATGCCTTTAAAAACATGTAATTATTACACGCAAAAATCTATTGATTCCAACAAGCGACACTGCATGACACTAACCTCTCATTTTTTAACAAATTGCGTTCGCACATGCGTCCGGCGATTGGGACTACTGATATTCTTAATGTATCAGTATCCGGACACTCAAACAACAGACACATGCTCATTTAATTAATTTTTTTTAAATACAAAAATGTTTAATTAGGTTTACTTCTTTTTCCCCATTAATTGTTAAATATTAAAGTTTTTTTTACAATAATTATTATTTTCATTTTTAATTGTTTAAATAAATAGTAAATATTTTTCTTCAATGTGTCCGGCTACTGGGACGTTTATCTTAACTTTTTACAAACTGAAATTACATATATCCATGTAATACCTAATTACGCGGGCGGCGGAAATATAGCTCCGTTTATAAAGGATATAATCTATCTGCTGTGTGTGTGCATCGATCATCGGCAAAGTTTAAATACGAAACGATTAGTAATAAGTATAAGTATCGCAGCAGTGTAAGATGAATGACGGAGTCGCTATATCGAGAAATATCGGAGTTGATGTGTTCATTATTGAGTCAATTTTTGAGTAGATACAGACGCCGGTGAAAAAAGTAATTGTACGCGAGTAATTTTATTGCGCACAAATGGTACACGAGCATCTGTCTGTGCCTTCAATTTAAACTTTACGACAGTCACCTGCCTATAGTCACTTTATCTGCCGGCGCTTTGGTCCCGTGATTGTACCGGTGAACGCATCGCGATTAATGGCGGACGCGTTCTTAATTAAGGAACTCCTTAATTAATTAGCTGCCGCGTGGCAACTGCTAACGAGTACCCGCGGCGCGTGATAGAACGATAACAGTCGACACCGGTTGGCATGAGCCGTGATTTTCCAACCGATAATTTTCATTCCGAGAGGTATTCGCGCTTAATAATTGGGAATTTATTCGAAAAGAAGTACACGAACAATTTTGATCAATAGTAAAATCTAAGATTTAAAAGAACATATTTTGAAATATGCAGTAGCATTACCCGAAAACATAAACCTCTGAGGATAATTTACAAGTAGAAAACACGATATACACCATAGATAATACATTATTATACAATTAACATATTTTATATTTTTATATTTTTCTGAGAATTAAATTACATAATATATAATAATGTGCAATCTGCATTTCAGAAATATTGTATATAAATATATTGTTAACGATCGAGAGCTTTTATTAAATTAATATTTTATAACATTAATTTATTTTCATTAACGTGTGATTGTGGGGAGACAGGAGTATTTCAATAATTATTATTTTCTCTAATATTTATACATTTTTCTGTTTTTAGCAATGTCTCTATGTATGTATATATGTAAAAAATAATTGATGAGGTGAAAATTGAGTTTTCAAGAAATGAAGCCGGTCATAAATTCTTCTAACTTGAGCAAAATAAATATTTCTAGATTTGAAATAAAATGAAAATTGATATATCACATAATAAGCTTTAAAATTTATCATATGAAACGGACAATGCCTGTTTCGTCGGTATGCTAATTCATCAGCTCAAGAACTTTGTAGGAAAGAAAAATATATAGAAGATACACGTGGACGAAATTTCGTTTGAAAATTGCATCGCGGTAGCGAAGAGGAAAAAACGGCGAGAATATGATCGGAGATAGGATTTGATTGGCGTTCTTTGAACGAGAAAAAACCTCTGGAAACGGTTTCGGAGCAAGCGATTCATAACGTGGGGTCGTAATCTATAAATAAGGAACACTTCGGTGTTTCTCAGTCCCCCGTGCCGAATGACATCCCTGAATCGAATTATCGTGCGTACGAATAATTCAACGACCGACAGATAATCTCGTTGACCCCGAGACCGATCCCGGTCGTTCATTTCCACATTATAATTGGTGCACGATGTGTCCAGACGGGCGCTATTTCTCGTCTCGATATCGACATTTAACGACAGTAATGGCTCGACGAATGAAAAATACGTTTCGCGAACCGTTCACGACGATCGTCTTCGCACCGATGCCATATGTTGCGCGAAATCCTCTATCGATTGTACCCCTCGGTAAACGGGTCTTATCCTGAGTGCGCGGAGAACGATTTTACAATGGTTACAAATGACGAGAATGACGGTTGATAGTTATTTGCAAGCACTTTGGTTTATGATGGACGAGAAGATCGCGAAAACTTATGCTACGTACACGCGCGCACAGCGTACATAGATCTCGCACGAAAATAAGGATGTGGGATACTGGGCATTTATTTAAACACGTTGCATGTTATACACGTTTAGGAAAGTTCTTATCTAAATAAATATCTCGCTTGACTTTCGCGAAAATATAATCGTTGAGACAGGAGCGCTTTAATTATATAGTATTTTCCTTATAATGCTTTACGTATCTTTCTATCTCTGGGCATGAAAAATGGTAATTTAGGTAAAACGGATTAGTATAAAAACGAATAATCTTTAACGAATGAAGACCGAAATTTTCTAGTCTAAAATCCTTGACATTTTTGCAATACGTCAGTAATGAGATTAACCATTTAAAAAGTGATATATTTTTAATCAGTGTTTTTTGTTATTCTCTCTGTAAAAATTTCCATGAAATGTGAAGACGTTGAGAAAAATAATAAAACTGACGTAATTTTAATTATATTACTTAGCAGTCTGCAAAGTTCACCCTGCACTTTGCATATTGACGATAGGAATACCTAGTTTGCAGAATATATCGAGTTCGAGATGTACGTCATATTTCCAGTTCTAGAAAAGTAATTATTACTCGCGTAATTACGCAGTTTTCTTCGATTGCGCAAGATTGATGCTTTTCCATCTCTCAAGCATTTATTTCGTTCGATTCACTCGCGTAACAAAGACTCCAGGAATAACCGGGAAAAAGTTGGGAAAATATACGCAAACCGTAACGGACATAAGATAATAACAGTTGGCAACAAAAGTTAAGTTTATACCATTAAATCTGGTCGAATCGCATGATGCCTCTTCTTCGCTTGGTCGCGGTTATCTTCCTTTTTTTTAATCTACAGACTGATCGATAAATATAGGGGCGATTTCCCGTCATCGAAAATATGACGGACTTTTGTCAACAAATTAATTTGTTTGTTAATATGATGACCACTATATTTTTTTATCAGCTTGTTAATTAAGTAACAAATTAAAATCTTAAAGTTGACTTGAAATCAAAGAGAAGAACAAGTCTCGAGGAAAGGAAGCGCGATTGGTCCCGCACGGAAACTCCATGCAAAGCCTCGTGAATCGCGTTCACGACGAGCACTGTGCAGACATTAAGTGCTCTCGTGCTTCAGTAATAACGCTCTAATTGCCGTTGTATTACTACCATTAACGCGCTTCGCGCCGTCACGCTGTGCGCAACGCGATTGCATAACGCGTGTCTGACGTAACGCGTAGCGATGACGTAATGTAAATACGAACGCGAGCGGTGTGCTCGCTCGAGCGCGTAATCGTCATCGGGGAAAAAAGAAGTTATCGCAAAACAAGGCGAAAATTGACATTATCCCTCCCTCTTTGAATCTACATAATATTCTCAAGAGAGTTCCCGTTGTTACGAATTATATTATTTTTAAATGTACTCTTCAACAAGGGGCCACTTAGGATCGGTGGCAAAAATGATGAAATACAAACTTATGTAACTTTGCGAGAAATACTCGTAGAACCATTTTTAAACAAACTTTTAAAGTCTAAGCACCTTGCTTTCAAAGTTTGTCGAACTCTCTTTTCGGCGATTTTCTCCTGCTTGAAAATAGCATCATTTTTAAATCAACCGTGCAAAATTGATAAGAATACTTTAATTTTGAGATTATGCATAGATTTGAGTTACGTAAATCGGAAAATTAGTTTTAATCTAAAAATGGAATATTTTTGTCAACATCGTACGGTCGACTTGGAAATGATGTCACTTAAAAGTTGTAGCCACTCATTTGCACGTTATATAAAGTTCAGTTTGTTAATATGTAGTACCCGGGCGACAAAACAAATTAAGTTTTAATTACAGTTCTTCGACTATTTATAACCCGAGAAGCCAGACAGTGATGTAATTAACGTTTTTCAATGCCACATTTTGATTGGCGCTCTAATGCGTTAGAAATTATCGAGACATTCAATTATAGATTTGATAACAAAAGGATATTAAATATTCCGATGCTAATTTCTGTTTCATCAGATCTAATTTCTCGACAGACGCCACTTTTACGAGTGTGAATAAAACGTTCTGCTATATATCGATTATTGGGATTGCATATATATATGATAATATGCTACTTCTGTGTTCCCCTTAATCAGATTTGATATTTCAAGTTTCAATATATTGTTTTTGTGACTGTTCAGCTTTTTATTCCCGTCACGCTATAATTATATTAATACGTGAGATAAAAACAAAGTCAACGAACAAGATAGAATGCGCATCAGCTTCTATATTTATAATTAGACACATAATGGCACATTACGCGTATTCAAGTATTTTGCTCTATATTTTTATAAAATAAAATAATTAAAGTTTTATTCATATTGCACACTTATCAATTATATTTGAAAATTATAAGTAAAATACACAATAAAGCGTAGTACGAATAGCAGTCTGTTTTTTTAGACGGGGGAACAAAATCTCGTGCGCTCAGGTTTCCGTAAAGTTTTTATTCTCTTTGTTATCTCTTATCAAATTGTGAGAGTTCTTCCTCCTTCGTTATTTTTCCTTCCAAAATCGCGGACAGCTTCTCGAGCAGAGAAGAATAGTCCGCTCTTCTTAATCAAGTTCCACGGGCGAGCTTTAACCTCAGTTTTTTTTGCTTGTCTTTGCAGCAGGACTGGGAGCTGACTAAGGGCGCGATGCCCTGGGGAAACGCCGTTAGGAGATGGGCCGAGATGCAGGACGGTCAGAGGATCCTGCTGACTACGCCCAGCGTTCTGGTCGGCTTCAGAGTCGAAGTTTATCGGGCGGAAGGCACCACACAATGGTACACAGCCGTGATCGTCGGTTACAACGAGTCCACCAAGGTAAGTCCGGCCAGATAATAAATATTACAGGGACGTGTTATCAGTAGATTGGAAATATCCTGCAGCAATTTTTGGGGGTCTCTTACTCTGTGATCGTTTGACCTATATAACAGTTTGATTTTAAATTCGTCAACGTTTTTATCAAGATTTAATACTTTTATACAAGTTATATATGAATTGATATTTAAGGAAAGTGATTTACAGTGCGACAAATGTCACTTAAACAAATCGAAAATTACAGATCGTTGTTTAGCCAATGTAATCTGGTAATCTCTTTATTTTAACGACATAAATTTGGTTCCATTTTGGTAAAATCGAATGAAATTACAAGAAAGGAAATTAAATTTTATTTGATATTATTCTAGAGTTAGAGCGCAGGGGATTTCAGAATTAATCTGAATTAATTTATTATTTCCAAATTAATAATAAGCTAAGATTAAAAAGAAAACAGTTTCAATTTTAATGACAGCTCTGCAAGAAGACACATTCGTTAATTATTAACCAAACAGTCATTATTAGAATCATATCACCCTGAACATTTACTAATTGTAAGTTTATTTCAGTGAACTTCTAAATTTTAAATATCTGCAAAGTGGAAAATTATAGGGCATTTAATCATATATTTATATATAACGTATGTATAGAGTAATTTAAATTGAGACATTTAAAATTTTTGGAAATATAGATAATTGGTTATTTATATTTTACCAATCCTTTTTGCACTATTATAGATATAGATCTATATTTTTATTTTTATTTCTCAATATTTATTTTATCGATTAAATACTTTTTGAAGATAATTTTGGCATACAGTTTTTTTTATCATATTTAGTATTTTAAAATATATTATACGACGAAGCTATGTGCTGATTTGTCATAACACTATGGAAAGTATAAAACGTATCTCAAAGTAACTTAAACGAGCCAATTTTCTTTCTCCGGCCGATATTTCCAGCGTTTTTTGTCGTTAAACATCCTAAGGTAGAGAAACGAACGACAGACTCGCGTCTTCGCGAAAGTAATCCTCCTCGTCTTGTCTCTCGGCGAGAAAGCTTCCGATAATTTATCCTGACACTGGCGCGGCATTCCTATTGGAAAACTAAATCCCTGAAATAGTCCGCGACGAGAAAACGTTCCAGAAAAGGCGCGGAGATCGAAAGGCGAAGAAACATAAAATATCGGTTGGGTTGTCTGAGGGAGCTTTTGTCGCTAGCGAGCTTTTTCTTTTCTGTCTCTTTATTCCCTTCGTATATACGTCTGTCTCGAATATTTCTCGAAAGTACCGGTGGAATCGAATCGATTGCCTGTTGAAGTTTATTCGAATATTCCTCGTTCTATAAACGTTCTCTCTCAAAGACTTTAACGAAATATCGCGAGGCGATGACGAATAGCATCAAAATGTATGAGAGACATTGTTTTCCATTTTGTAAAAAGAATTAATATGAATTAATATGAAATCGCGAGATTTATTTCATCCTTATACATGTATCGAGTAAATGTTTTTACCCCGTCGCTGTTTTAACTTTAAATAAATGAAAATAAAGAGACATATGTCTTTTAATTATTATCAATCATATTATAGTCGTATCTTGTTAACGTTGAAGTCTCAGTCGGATCTTTCACATGGCAGAGTCTGAATTTTGCACGAACTTAAGAAAATTTCTATTTTTAACGATGGTTGAAGTGTCGATATTGTCAATAAGAGAGGCGATAAAAACTGAATTGCACCGGAAATTGTATCGACAGAAATCTACACATACTGCATCGCAATCAGCTCGCGTGCAGTCTCGCTACCAGCAGACGACTCTGTCTCGCCGCCGATCAGTTAAGCGTATTGACAAGGAGAGGCGTTGATCGTGACGGTTCTTAACGAGATGCCAGACCATCGATCGGCCGATCTCTGACCCGCGAATTGGCAGATAAACGCTCCGCGGCGAGTCACGAAATTTCTCAGAAGAATCGAAATCGATTAACATCCATTATGCAATAAATTTTTCAACTGCGAATGAAATCGTTCGTAAAGACTCGAGATCGATGAACCTGGGAAATAATTGAGCATCTCGACCTGTATCACTATCATTATAGCAGCTATTTATGACGATCCGACGAGTTAATGGCGAATAATATGAACGCAAAGAGAGAGGAAGAGAAGAGTGTACAGATAATAGAATAGTGTTTTTGTTTGAGATTGTATTTATCATTAACGGGAAAATTAATATTAAAAGAGTTTTATAAATCTACCCGGGATTATACATATTTAGAAGTTTCAATACTGCTTTTTTTAATGACCTGATTATTTCTTAATTATCTTTTCAGGATTTGACTGTCACCGATGACACGGTCCTCGAAGATCATAACGAGGATCCCACATTAGTACAAATGCGGCTGATTGGCGACGGAGGTGAGAAACATTAGCACGAGATAAAACGTATATGTTTAATTAATAGCGCAGCAATTAAATTCATATCGAAAAATTTCCAATAAAGTTTTGCATGAAAGCAGTGATGTAACATTATTGTTTTTAAAAAATGCTATTTAAAAAACTAAAAACGTATTAAATAGTTTATTAAATATTATTTATATAATATCGTATCTTCGGATGCTATTATTCAATATTGTCTAATATGAAATTATCGCTACGCAAATACCTATATATCTTTATTTTTCTAAATTGTATCAATATATATAATAATATTTGTAAGTAATATCGTCGGATAAGTGGAATTGTGAAACGTAGTGAGAATGTGTTTTCGCTTTTTTTCTTATGCAGTCGTCGAGAGCATCATGAGGGGCGAGGTCGTCGGCATGACACCAAGGAGGTCGAGGTCATCGACTGCTCTGACGCACGCGCTCGTTGTGGTGAGTGAAATCCAATTTCGTTCTATTATTAAACGTTCTGCATAGTTTACGATCAGCAAGTATCGTAAACAGTAGGTGTATGGACGCGCCTTTATATTCCGCATATAATACCTCATGTACATAATGTATTTAAGTCATCATAATGAAGTTGACTTAACCCATGTTTCCTGGGCAACCTATTTTTCACGTTATTTATATAAAATTATTATTATGGCCGCACTTTGTGTTTCCGCACATTTGATGATGTACAATATTTTATGAATTTATACAAATTTACTTAACTTACTTTAGAAAAAGTTTAATTTAAAATCGTTTATAAATTTTTTTTTATATACCGGTAACGGTAAAGAAAAGAGAAAAATCCCTCGCGTAATAATGTCACACACACAATAATTTACTTCGATAAGTAAAGCGCATTTACTCGAGTTTCAAAACCTTTCAAATTTTTCTTTCCAATTTCATTTTCTATATAGAACGTGCTTTTTAATAGTGGCGAGAGTATAGTTTAGATTGGCGCATTGGTCTAAACGCTTCAAAAAAGAGGAAAACGAAGAGATGTTTGCGCTAACGCATGCACTTTACGACGTCCGGTATTTATCGCGGCGCCGCTGAGCTGGCGCTAATCTAAATTTCTGCAACGCCGCGGTAACTAGTAGACGATGTTTTGTAAGGCATTTATCGGCGAAATAAATCGCGCGACCAAGAGTCACGAATTAAGGCGCGATAATTTCCCGCGGAGGCAAACATCTTCCTCGCGCGTGACGATAGCGCTTGCGGCCGTCACATGGTAAACCGTAATTGGAATCGAGTCGATGTGCCGTTCCGAAAGGAAACCGCCGTCGGTAATCGTGTCGTTGTATGCTTTCGCAACGTATATACCTCATCGTATTCGCTCGCGATGCACGTTGTTGACGTGTGAATGCTCGAGACAGGCGCATTCTGATCACTTACTCTCGTCGCGGTTGCCAGATTTCTTGTATACACGAAGATTCAATTGGCGAGATAAAAGATTTGCCGCGATTTAGATCGTGATTTAGATCGCGATTTAGAAACGCGATACACATTCAACCAGACGTTTTTATTAAATTTTCACACGTTTAATTTATCGATATTGGTGGGATGTATGCTCGCGAGAGTACCGTTATCGTTGTCTCGGAGCCGTTATCAGCGCGGTTATTGTGTTACCTGAGCTTATAGATAAGCGGCGGTACGGAAAATAGGACATCGATTATCGATTGCGCAGATATCTTAAACGAAACTCAGTGACATTACGTCGATGTTATATATCAGGCGCCAAGATAACAATTGCCCTGATATTTCTATCATAAAATGTAATTGAAGATTTGCGGTGTCTTATACATTTCACAATTGGTTGTATAATGGGTGTATAATTGACTTATAAATATGGAAGAAAACTGTTTGGAAGCACTTTGAGACTCAAAAATTTCTGTTTATCAAACTTTATTACATAAAAATATGTTCAAAAAGCATCGAACGTATCTTTACGATGATTTCATATTATATCTCCTTAAAAATGTTTTTATTCTAAGAACAAATCCTCTGAAGAGAGTATCATGCATTAGTAATTAATTTTATTTATTAGTAATTAATTAATTTTAATATTAAAATTTTATAAGTAGTCTCTCTTCTCTTAGTAACTTATATAAAATACAGATGAAACATCAAAATACAATGGAAAGTATCGAGGAAACTGTTGCCAGGTGTCTTGCGCCTGGATTTTCGATGTACAAAGTGATGCCTACGCGTACCGAGCGTTTCCCTTTAACGCAGGAAATCAATAGAGTCGAGCTTGCAGCACCCTCGGGCTTTCAGGAATCGGGAAGCCCGGAATAGAGTCCGTTGCTACCTTAGCGGCCGACTTCCGTTCGTCGTGTACGCGAATGCCCCACCTTCCTATTTCTCTCTCCCTCTCTCCCTCCCTCCCCCTCTTTCTCTCTCACTCTCTTTGTCTCTTTCTCTCTCTCTCCTCCCTTTGTCTCTTCTGTCTCTCCCATCGCTCGATTTTCCGTCCAGGCGGCAATCGAGGGCATAGTTGTCGTGCTTGCGTGCCCGCGCCATGAATTTCTCGGGAGAGACGTGCACCTCCGATTCTAGATAACGGCGATGGTCGAACTAGACGGTGATAAAACCGAATATCAGGTCGCGGTGGTGATACAGAGTGCCACGATATATATCCACGATCGAAATTAGATTTGTTTTTGAATATCTATTCTTATTTCATTGATTAAGATTTTAATCAGCCCTACTCTTCCGCGATCCTTCGATGATATTTCGCGGATACTATATCGGACGCCGCGATTTATTATTCTCCACAAATAACGGCTCTCTCGCCACAGAGAGTTAATTAATACGGACAGCGAGTATTTTGCTCTTTTCATAAATGCAAATCAGACGCCGATTCGGCATTGTTCTCCGGGATCAGTGAGTGCTATTCCACGGTTTATGTTGTCAAATTTGTCGACATAAATCTCGCGATTTATCGCCTCGACGGTTGGATCTGCTACCTCTGCTACATACGACGACAGGGACGCGACGAGAATAACGGCGATCGTAATTGCATATTCTGCCTGGAATCGCGTGCTGCGTTGACATGAAATCGTTATTAACTGTCTCGGAGATACAATTAAGCGCCGCAGGCGTCGTCTTTTTCCGATTCCGACGTGGGGTGCTCGTACATTCTGAAATACATCGTTACGATCTCATGCAAAAATAACCGACGCCACTTGAATGTCATATTTGTATCGATTCACTCTTCGCGTAGTATATTTCAAGAAAGATACTTTTACCTAAATACATACATCAGACGTCCATCAAATCGAATCTCGCGAAGTTCCACTGTAATGTGTCACGGTAATCATTACGGCGATTATAACATCTAATTCGTTTCCGTTTTATTACTTTCTAGTTCAATATCTTAGCATATATCGATAACGAATTAAGTACAGTAATACACGATTATTATACGTAATATGTTACAAAAATATGATACATTCTTATAAAATAATGAAATCCTCAGTATATGTTGTGTTAATTTTATCTTTACGGAAATTTAACGTAAAGCTTATTTATTTATGATAAAAATAACAAGACAGTAAATATAATAGCTATTTATTTGGCTCGCATTAGACGCGCAAAGAAAGACCAATGATAAAAAGTGAAATCGAATTTGCGCGTCGTATAGAATATGAAGAATGTTTGATAATCCTCGAACACCTTGTACCATCCCTTCCCTAAGCGGACTCGATTAGATTTCGTGTCGGATATGCTCATTCATCTCATCAGAACTTAGCGAAGCGCGACTCATCGACGTGGCTTGTACATTCCATCCGACAAAGGTTACGAAAGAAAGTATAATTTCTTGGCTGGTTTCCACCTTGCTCTCGTTGCAAGGAGGATAATCGCGGGGCGGAGATGGATTTCGCGACGAAAGAAAATGATTTATGAATGCCTCCGGAGACAAGGAGAGAAGGGAAGAAGGGGAGGGGAGGGTAAGAAGGGACCACGAAAAGCCCCTCTCGCATTAAAGAGCATTTGTAAGATCGAAGGGAGCGAATTCGGAAAGTTTCCCCAAAGTTTCCTCGAGGCACGAAGAAATCTGGAAGTAGGAATAACTCGTTCCCATGAAAGGCGGCTCGGCAAACTCGCGCGGAGAATCGGGCGTCGAAACTCCGAAAGAGAATTGCACGTTAAGCGATCAAAAGTTCGGGGTTGTCAAAGCGAGGTGGTTAGTCCTTTTAAGGCGGCCGCCAAGCCTCCGGGGTAGTACGGTGGCACAGCTCCCTGATTACCGTTTCTAATTTTCTACCATTTCCCAACCATCGCCTGGGTCCACAGACTCTGCAATACGTCCGCGTGAGTTTTGCGCGAATTATTCTGCTCGTTGGCGCAGGAAAATTACCGTCGCAACTCTGACGATTAGATCTCTCACGTCTCTTGCGAGGCTTCAGAATGATTCGCCGCGTTAAATCGTATTTTTACAGGCTCTCAGTCAGCACCGAAGCGTTAAAGGTCGCGCATTATCTGAACATTAAGGGTAGCCGCTCTCTTTTTCTCTCACGCATAAAACTCGCATACGATTCGCGGCACGATCGAGGTTTGCGCAATCTTAACCGTTCTCGAAAATGAGATTTTAATAACAGCGTGTTTACCCGGCGTTGCAGTCAATTATCGGAGATTGATGGTATTGAGTTTGAATAATAAATCATCGAACGCTAAGTAATCATTTTCAACATCGTTGATTTACGATCATGATCTATTTTATACATATTTAAAAAGTTTATATTTTTATTAATTTATGAGTACATCCAAATTTATGAAATTTACAGTGTTATGTTGATTAATTAAACATTATTTTTGTGATATAACCGTTGAGAGGAGATAATCACTATGAGCGTAGCGCTTGTATACTAACTTGTGAATTAAAATCGAGGAAACGCCCGCGGCGTTCGTATATTTTCACGATGCGTACAGGAACATCGTAAGCTGCATACAAACTTTCGTCTCGCTCGTGGTGGGATTCGTGAGTCATGCCGAGCACTTCGGTCCGCGAGCGACGACGCAGCTTCGTCGGGAAGTTCGTGACTGGCTTATACGAGTTCGAAAACTCGCGGAAAGGGATTAAACCTTGCGACTACTGGCTCGTAATGGAACTCTCGCACCCGGGAGTTTCGCGAAGACCGATCATTAGAAGAGCTTACGAGACGAGGTCGTGCCGACGAAGAAACACTCGTCTTTAAGATATCAGTCATCGTGACTTTGCTTTCCTTGCTTTCTCAGGCTCTCAGAATTTGTTTATAATACTTTTAAACTCCGCTCAGCAGAGAAATTCGTGACATATGATCGATTTAATAGCGAAGTAGTAGATCGTGCATGACTGAATATTTTTTATATTTAGGGTCTCAGGACCTTCAAATTTAATTTTAATGATTTTTTGATGATACCAGAGTAATTTTTTTTAAGAGCAATAACCTTAAGGTTGT